TGGGCGAAGACCCATGCGCCATAACCTCCCACACATCTGTGAAAGCTTAGGTCATTTCCAGGTGCGGAAATTCCAGCATACTTGCTAATTCTGCAAAAAGAGAAAAACGAGGCCTAAATGGCTTTTCAATGATCAATCCAGCGATACTCCCCTTTCCTCTGATACTGTACATCGCTCTTTCTCCCTCCTAGAATCAACAAACTCGGCCTTAAGAGGCCGTTTGCTTACACAAGTTCCCATATTTTCTCGTATAAGTGAGACTGCAGCCTTACGCTGCATTTCGCGCCTCGCTAGCAGGGCTAAGCCACATCTAATTCGCCAGTAATATTACGAGCATTTCAAGGAATATATTCGGGCTTCCTAAATGGGTGAGCTTTTCCGTTCCTCCTGAATCCCACTTCGGATTGCCAGAAGTGAATCCGTATTGTATGTGCAATCTGGCGCAAATCCTAGATTCACATTTGGCAACCCCTAGGTACTTTGGCCCAATGTAGAAATTAGTCCGCATGGCCGTAATTACTGAGTGTCCTCACAGAGTACTGTAGCCTAGAATTGGAATTGTATAAGTATTGCCCCGTTACCTCTTCAATACTTCTATCTCATGCCCACATTCACAGAACCCCAACCTCAACAAGTTCATCCCCCAAAATGCGCCCTACTCTCCTCTCTCTCATCGCTCTCGCCAGCGCCGCCAGCGCAGCGCCTTCCCTCATCCCTCGCCAGGAGGGCACAGTCGACTACGGTTACTGGTACGCCGTCTACACCTCCGAAGGCTTCGCCGCGGGATCATCAGAGACCGTCGTAGCAACATATTCGAACCCGGGTCACGCGTCCAACTTTACGAGCACGTGCAGGGAAACGTACTATCATGGTCAGACATACAGGAATTGTGATGCGGGCTTTTCGTATACGTGGGGGGCACCATGGTGTAAGTCAAGTCTATACTTTCCGAAGTCGTAGCAGAAGTGTTCTGTATGGATGCGTGTGGGGGAATATGTATGCTAACTGCGCTATGATAGCCGATGATGGAGCAACTCTGAGTCTTACGCAGACGGTTGAGCTTGGTGGCGAGCAGGTGAAGATCTCTGGGTCAGCGTTACTTGTACGTCTTTCTGGGCTTGGTTCCGGAAAGGCGAGCAGGGCAGAGGGACGAATTGAGGCTGGTCTCGCATCTGCATAGGTTAAGGGTTTAGAGAAACAATGGTGAACGCGTATACATGCACTGCAGAAGATATTATGAGCTTTATATGCTATTACATGTACAAGTGCCTCAGCTTTGAGGTTCGATATTGCGTAGGGCAGAATAAAGGCAGAATAAAATTCCAAAAAGTAACTTCAACCTCTCAAGTTTGGCCAATTGATAGTCAGACGACTCGAATATGTAATATTTAATACTGAGGCTTCCTACAGCATTAACACGTTGAACCTCAGAACGAAAGACGTCTTACCGAGTTCGTACTCCGTACCTTAGCAATGACGTAATGGTCGATATCTGCATGCACCTTTCACGACAACATTCTGCACTCTTAACTAGCTGGAGAAAAAAAAAACAGAAAAAGCTCGTCCGCACATTTCTCAATTTTCGTGGACAGTTCCTGCATCTCACATCTTCGACTCTCTTTTCCTTCTTCGAGTTCGCGATAACTGAAAAACGCCTCCATCTCAGCCTTCCATCGGGTGGCTGCACTCAGGCTGGTTGATTGATTCTGGACTATTAAGGGGATCTCTCCTTTTAGTTTTTGGTCCAGAGATTCTGTCTCTATTTCTATTTTTCTTGAAATTGCTCCTTGCCTATCCTTTTCAATTTTATTTTTTTGATACCCATCTCAGATATGTCGTCGACTTCCCATCGCCAGTAATACCGTTCAACATCTGGAACCCAAACTTCTGTCATCCAGATCTGCATTCCTAATCTTCTACCTTCTGCATTCAATTCTCTGGTATAATCCCTATCCTTTTTTCTCAAACTGTGTACGCAATATACGCAGCACACCACCCTATCTCTCCAACCCAACCGCAGTCATGCTCCCTCTGCTCCCTCTGCCCATCCTCCTCCTCTCCTGTCTTACAACCGCCACCACCTCCCCAAAACGCGGACTTATCCACATCCCCTCCTCCAATCATCCCTCAGACGACCAATTCTGGACCGCGCCCAGCTCAAGCCTGACATGGTATTATAACTATGGCTTTGTTCCTTCCCCATCACTCTCCCGGTCACATCTCAGCTTTGTGCCTATGTTATGGGGAGCATCCGACGATGATAGAGAGACACCGTTCCTCGATTCTGTCAAGCAACAACTTAATCATGGCGCGGAAATCGAACACGTCCTCTCCTTCAATGAACCAGACGGTGACCACGCAACCGGCGGCAGTGATATAGAACCGAGCCTAGCAGCCAAATCCTGGAAGGCCCAAATCTCTCCCCTCCGCGATCTCGGCGTCAAAGTCGGCGCGCCCGCCGTAACCGGTTCTTCGCGCGGCCTCCAGTGGTTAGATGACTTCTTCTCCGAGTGCAACGGGGAATGCGACTTCGATTTCATGCCTGTACACTGGTATGGCAATTTCGAAGGGTTGGCGAGCCACGTTGGGCAGGTTATGGAACGGTGGCCGGGGAAGGGGGTGTGGGTTACGGAGTTTGGGTTTGTGGGAAATGGGGTGGAGAGGGGGAGGGAGGGGTTGAGGGGGCTGCAGGAGCAGTTTAATACGAGTTTGCGGTGGATGGACGGAATGGTGTAAGTGTACTTTTCCACATATTTCGCTTTGCTATATGGTTTCACGGAACATGATAGATAAAAAGTAGATTCGTCTTTGTTTTATCTTTCATTGTTCTTTATGTTACGTCTGCTTATTATTCTTAACGCTTAGAGATATATTTTTCTACCCTCTCCTCTAACCCCACTTTCACTTCTTATTTACCTTCCTTCTTCCCCTACCATCTCTTCCACCTCTAATGGTCTCCCATTTTTCCTTACTGCTACCATAACTTCGTCCTGCTTTCCGTTCTTACTTCTCTGGGACATCTTACAGCCCCACTGTATATGCATCTCAACTAACGCACTCCTAGGAACATAACCCACTACTCCTACTTCGGCAGCTTCCGCTCCTCCGTCTCCAATATCGGGCCCAACGCCGCCATGCTAACAAAATACGGAAAATTGACGGATATCGGGTCTTGGTATTTAGGAGGGCCTGGGACCGGCAATGTGCCACAGAGTGCGGGTGTGAAAATGTATGTGGAGGTCGTGTGGTGGAAGATGCTCTTATGTTTAGGAATATGGTTTTGGATGTTGTTATAGAATATGATTTTGGAGATAAATGATATTAACTGACATATTTGGTAAGGGGTAATTTTAAGACGCTAGAGACGTGAAGTGCAGAATGGGCATATAGAAGCAGAGATATATACATGTTACAGTTCAAAGAATACAGATCCTTCTTTCCTAGATACGACTATACCTTTTTTAAGGATTACCTCCACTCTTCTCTATATCTATTTGTTAGATACCAGTCCTTCTCTATATTCAAATTAGAACCAAGATTACGCTCAATTTTAAATATAGCCAGCTCCAACACCAATTTGATTGTGCTATGTCTCCTCGAATGTACGATATTAAGATTTTTTAGGGGAGGGCAGAATAGAGAACTTGGTATAGCATAGGAGGGGGAGGAAAGCGTTGTATGTAGAGAGAGCTGCTTTCTCAAGCATAGTTGAGAGATTTAAAACCTAAGCTATAAGAATCAAAGAATTAAGGACACATGAAAGGAGAGCCAACAGAAAGATCAGAAAATATCATCTAAGATAATAAAAGAGAGAAAGCAAAATGCTTTCAATCCCTTGTATCGTTCTCTGAAATACAAAGTAGGTAAGACTTCTCGATAGACATAAATGAAATGCGGAGAAATCTATCAGTGCCATTGACTTCTCAGAAATAGATTTCGACTGAAGTTGGCAGAGATCTTCGCTACATATCCCAGTTACTCTGAAATCAAGGTGTGTTCTAGAGCGTAAAACCTATACAGAGTGTGGTGCGTTCCTGATGGTGTTCAACTGCGAGCACCTCCGGAGCTCTTACTGCCAATTCATCGGTTAAACGGCACCAAATGTAAGCTCCACAACACCCCACCGCGCACAAACTCTCATCTTCTCCTTAATTTCGTGTCCTTCAGCCTGTGTTTGTTGTAAAGTTATTAATATATTTTTATAAAAAATTATTTCATCGAAACAATACGATTACCGGTTGTATGGTGTAGCGGTAGCACATTGGATTCTGATTCTGCCTTGCCTCAGAGTTTTCCAACGACCCCGGTTCGATCCCGGGTACGACCTGAAATATGCTCGATTTCTTTTTCTTTCTTTTTTTGCGTGCTCTAGATAGAGGAGGGGGTATTTAATTTCATTCTTTAGCAGGATTGGGAGATGCTTAGAGATTTTGAGGGCATACACTTTGTTTTTTTTCCTAGAGAAAAACACTTCTGCATAATTTAGGAGCGTAGAGACACAGCCTTGAGTTTTGGTATAGATAGTCTTATGTCCGAAGATTGGAGATCGCGCGGTGAAGCTCATATGCTTGCAAACCTCTCCTTTTTGACTTCTGATAAGACAAAGCGAGAAGTTACCACATCATACTATTACATACTTATAAGATGATATAACGTCTCCAGACCATGCCACAATTCGTCCGCACTCCAAAATCCTAAAATTGGTTATATTAGTACGCAAGCCCGACAGATAAAGAGAGGTTAGGTATGTAACTAATGAATTTGTGTTCCTGTAAGTTTGTTACAAATTGAAGCTCAAAGAACGGCTCAATGTCGCCTGCAGCATATATACAAAGAGAGAGAGTGAGCGAGCAGGGATTACTGGGTGCCTGATGTTTATTTCTATTCCGACAATTCTCATATTGCAGGATGCATGATCTCTATCTACTTCACGACCTAAAAATTGCCAAAAAGAAGAGAATTGAAACTGAGACACAGTAATATACCAACTCAGTATAGAGCGACCGACGTCGGACTCGAACCGACAGCCTCACCCTTAGGAGGGGTGCGCGCTACCATTGCGCCAGCCAGCCTTACTCGTTTGATGTTGGAGATGTTGTTGTAGAATCTATTTGTTGACACTATCCCCACTGTCTGAAAAAATCAAACTCCGCCAGCATCCGGAATCCAGACTCTTCTTTTAGACAGCCCACTTCGTTAGTCATGGTTTTTTATTTGGCTTTATAAAAATATTTATTTAAATAATTTTCATCAGTTCACTGAATCAGCCCGGCTAGCTCAATCGGTAGAGCGTGAGACTCTTAAGCCTCCCGTTCTCTTACAAACGATTGGATTTCGGTATCTCAAGGTTGTGGGTTCGACCCCCACGTCGGGCTTTCTTTTTTGTTTTTGGGTTGGGAGATGGTCGTGGTTGAATGTTCGGATTTGGGCGGCTTGTGTGGAAAGTAGGGACGGGTGGTATATGCGGAGATATTTTTTCAAAAATCAGAGTCTGTTGAAGTTGCTCAGTTGTTGTTGGACTTCGTAGAATCGCCTTATAAGCGCTTCAAAAGTATAAAGGACGTTGAATTGGTGCACAAATCTAAACAGATAGAGCAAAAAGTATGACTTATCCTTATTGATTATTGCAATTGCTTTTATTAAATACAATAATACTTCAGGCATTTTTTGCTTAAACATGTAGTCATATTTAGTACTGGAACAATTTGGCTGGTGGAACATTTTTACCATGAGTAGCATATG